TCTATTCTATTCTATTCTATTCTATTCTATTCTATTCTATTCTATTCTATTCTATTCTATTGTTGTGTTGTGTTCTATTCTCAATTCTATTCTGTTCTGAATTCTATTTTATTCTGAATTCTATTCTATTTTGAATTCTACTCTATTCTATGTCAAATTCGATTCTATTCTGAATTCTATTCGATTCTATTCTAAAATTCTATTATATTTTGAATTCTATTTTATTCTATGTCAAATTTGATTCTATTCTGAATTCTATGTTAAATTCTATTCGATTCTATTCTGAATTCTATTCTATGTCAAATCCTATTTGATCCTACAGTATTTTGAATTCTGTTCTAATTCTATTCTAAATTCTATTCTATTCTATTCTTTCCTTTCCTTTCCTTTCCTTTCCTTTCCTTTCCTTTCCTTTCCTTCTTTCCTTTCCTTTCCTTTCCTTTCCTTTCCTTTCCTTTCCTTTCCTTTCCTTTCCTTCCCTTCCCTATCCTATCCTATCCTATCCTATCCTATCCTATCCTATCCTATCCTATTATTTCAAATTCCATTCTATTCTATTATGTTTCTGTTCCTATTATATTTCTGTTTCATTTCTGTTCTGTTCTCATTCTGTTCTGTTCTGGTTCTATTCCCTTCCCTTCATGGCTACCCTGCAACCCATCCTATGGGCTCCTGTTATGCCGAGACTCACCCAACGCCCGTTTTTTTCAACTTGGCGCAGAGTAAAACGTCTGTAAAAAGGAAAACGTGGCGCAGCTTGCGAGATCCTTCGGCCACCTCAACCAAGAACCCATCCTTGACCAGCTGGCGGTTCTGCAGAGGAGGGAAAACAGTCAAAAACAAACAAACAAACAAACACATCATACCCCATAACTCCACAAAGGCCCTGTGGCTTTTTATATATAGGACAGGATAGGGGCCGTTTGAGTAGTGAGATGGCCTAGAAGTGGAGCTCTCGCCTCAGAATCCGGAGGCTGTGAGTTCGATCCTTGGTAGAGGCAGATATATTTCTCTCTCTGGGCACAACGAGAATTTATCTGCCTGATAAAACTCCCCACTGGCAACAGGAAAGGTATCCGGCCAGGAAAACACTCAGTTCCATTCAGTTGCTCAGACTCCACCCGTCAAGGGATTATGGAGTCATTAAATGAGGAGGACGGGATAGGACCTGTTTAGGATAGCATGCTCAGAGGCTATGGGGAACTGGGACCTCTGAATGCCGAGGATGGGCAGAAAAATTGCTCTGCCCTGTTTTGAAAAAGGGGTTCAATTCTAGGATGAATGACACAGAGGCCCCGATTCACAGCAACGGAGGGGTCGCTTCAGCCATCAAATTCATTTCCATAAATATTTAACTTTACCTAGCCATCCATTTCATTTCAAAGCGATTGTAAGCATCATACAACAGCCCAATAAATCCCCAATACATTAAAAAAAAAAAATTACAAACCACTCATTTTTCTTGTTTTCACTGCGTCATCATGCGGTTGGGTTAGGGTTATTTATTCCTGATTATTTTAATGCATTTATTTATTTACCGGTACCTATTTATTTATTTATTTGTATTTATTTATTCAATTTACAGGCTGCCCATCTTACTTCAAAGTAACTGATTTATTTCTGATGATTTTAAAGCATAGATAGATGAGAGAGAGAGAGAGAGAGAGAAAGAAAAAGAGAAAGAGAAAGAGAGATCTTCCATCTATATATATAAAAGCGAAATTACCCCTCACGCATCATCACAAAATCTCCAGAACCGTAAAGCTTACAAACTTGAAATTTGGCCCATACGTTCCTCTTGGCTTCTAGGGGCTCACTAAGAAAGGATTTTTCGAAATGACCACCAGAGCATTTAGAGTATTTCCTATATTATTTATTATTATTATTATTATTATTATTATTATTATTATTATTATTATTAACACGCTCTGATGCTAAGGAGTTCTACTCCCCCTCCCCACCTGGAAAGAAGAAATCTCTTCCAAATGCAAAACACAAGCAGAGGAGTTTCACTTTCACAGCATTAAGCAGCTTTAGTCCAGAACAGTTGAGCTAAGCCCCGCCCAGGCTCCTTGCTGCCTCCTTCTTGCTCACACAGCAAATACTCTTTCAGTTTCCAAACAGCCCTCGGCTCTCTCACCCACTGACAGGACACAAGCCAGATGAATACTGATGGATGCTGGTAGGCAGAGGCAGAATTTTTCCCCGCTTTATTTTCCTCCTGAAAAACTTGCCCGCTCACATAGTTTCATAGGGAAGCACGGGTATTGAGCTAGTATAGTTATATATGCTTTAAAATTATCACAAATAGATCAACATACACACTTGCCTGCTAAATTATATAATTTCATACATTTTACATAAAATGTAGAAAAATAGATAAAGATAGATGAAGATACACAGATAAATGGATGATTGACTGTAGTATATATAGATATATATACGTGTGTATGAATATATATATATATATATATATATATATATATGCGCGCGTGTGTGTGTACATATATATGTGTGTGTACACACACACACATATATATATTGACACGCTGTAACTGATGTTATAAGCTGCCCAGAGTCGCTTCAAAATGAGCGGCCAATAAATTTAATGAACGAAATGGATCCTAAATCAATAATCGTTATTGAAAATTGTAGAGTTGTAATTGCAGGAATGTCCCTATCTCGGATGGCAAACCTCAGATAAAGAACGTTTACAAGCAAATACAACTCAGGCGAATAAAGTCACTAATCTAAAGGAGGATTAGAGAGAGGAAGTAAACATATGTTAGACTTTAACTAGTGATAATTAATTGTGTTAATTACTATTATGCTAAACAGTAACGAAAGTTAAGCAGTAACCGAAGTTAACCAATGTTGGAGGATTACTAAAAATGTGTATGAATGCAAGACTAGGCTCCAGTAAAGCTCATCATGATTCAGTGGATCATGATCAAACACCTCGACTGCCTCGTCATTACAACAGAAAATTAGTTTTGAAAATTACAAATGTTAACGGACAAGCCTCAGAATCCTACCCTCGCCGTCTCATCCCCTTCCCAAAGAGCGCCGCACTCATCCTGATATCTCACGGACAGCTTATCTTGACCCTGGTGGGGCCTCCAGCCACAGGGGCAGTCTATCTCGAGAATCTTGGCAAATCTCCACCTGGGGAGGAGGTCTGCTTTGCTGATGGTTTTTTTTGGGGGGGGCCCTAAGTTGGTCCACACAGAGAGAGTCCGTCTTTTTTAAGGGAACATCCCACCCCACCCACAAAAAAAAAAAACATCTCATCACAACACAACAGCCTGCTTGCCTCTCCTTTCGGGGTAGTGACGGCCGTTCTGCGAGGATCGATGTCCTCGTTGATGCTGGAGAGGAAGTTCTGGGATATCCGAAGAGCGTCTTGGAGGAGCGGGTAATCAGGGTGATCGGTCGGCGTGTGCTTCAACAGATCCTGGGATCCCAAAAGAGAATTTTTTAAAAACAACCACAACAAATTATTGAGGTTTTTCAAGAAGAGATTGGACAGTCCCTTGTCTGAAATGGTATAAGATCTCCTGCTTTAGCTGGGGGCTGGACTAGAGGACCTCTGAGGTCCCACCCAAGCTCTATTCTGAATTAATTAAAATGGCGGGAGCTTCACCCCTGGAAGCTTTCAAGGAGAGACTGGACTGCCATTGGTCAGAAATGGTCATGCCCCTGTTGGAGACTGACTCCCCTACAGCCAGTGGAATTGTACTGGTGGTACTGGAGGAGGCTGGGGAAGGGCAGAGGCCGGCTGGGCAGTCGGAGGAGGACCCAGGCGCATCCCCTCTCCATCCTAGGGCACGCAGGGAGGAGAGGATAAGGGAGAGACATGGTCTACGGGGGAGGAGAGGGCCTTGATCCCCTTCATGGGCTGCAGCTGTGACAACTGGACTAAGAGGACAAACGCGTGTATGGGCGAGTGCTGGAAACAAAGTGTGGAAATATCTCTAGTTTATTGTTCCTCTCTTGAGTTTGGCGTCTTCAAGCCCTTATCTTGCCTGGTTTGTGTCGTATTTTACTCTTTATAATTTAAACGGCATTTCCTCCTTCTTGTAACTGGTTGTGGGGGAGTTTTTTGTCTCCCGTCAAGGATATTTGGAGCTTGGAAGCAAAGTGAAGGAATAAAGGGGGCTTCACATGTTTTTTTTGTGTGTGACTGTGTTTATTTTGTATACTGCAAAATGGAGTAGGGTCTCCTGCTTGGGTGGGGGTTGGACTAGATGACCTCTGAGGTCCTTCCCAGCTGTATTCTGAATTAAATTTGCCATACGTCCCTCCGTGATCAGAAAGAGCTGGGGAGATTTCACCCCCTCACCCCCCCCAATTCCCTGTGGGGGTTTTACTCACTTGTAAAACATTGGTGCTTCGAGCAACTCGGTTTATAGGTTTATAGAGCAAGGCTACAAACGAGAGAGAGAGAGAGAGAGAGAGAGAAATAACAGTCAGCGTAAGGAACAGGTAAGGAGGCAGAATTAAGAAACAAATCAAAAGTTCCGAAACGAGTTAAAATTGCAAGATTTAGCCCAAATCCTTATTATGCTGATTCATAGCAAAAAAACAAAGAAAAACCGCTATTTAACCACATTAAAAATGGTAAATAGGTAGTCCTCCACTTATGACCAGAATTGGGACTAGAATTTGACAGACTAGAACCCTGGGCCATATCTAACAAAATGAAATTCAATGTAAAGAGTAAAGTCTTGCACTTAGGCAAGAAAAACCCAAACGACACCTATAATAGACTGGGTGAAACCAGGCTCAATAGCAGGAACTGGGAGGGGGATCTCGGAGTCTTAGTGGACAACCAGCTAAATAGGAGCCGATGTTGTGCAGCAGCAGCCAAAAAAGTGAATGCAATCCTAAGTTGCGTTAACAGAGGGATACAATCGAGATCAAGGGAGGGACTAATATAAAGCCTTAGTAAGGCCACACCTAGAGTCCTGCATCCAGTTTTGGTCACCACACTATAAAAAAGATGTTGAGACTCTAGAAAAAGTGCAGAGAAGAGCAACCAGGAGGATGAGGGGACTAAAACATGCAATGAACGGTTGCAGGATCTGGGCCTGGCTAGTCTAGGGAAGAGAAGGACCAGGGGAGACAGGATAGCATCTTCCAATATTTGAGGGAGGGGCTGCCCCAGAGAGGAGGAAGGAGTCAAGCTATTCTTCAAGGCACCCGAAGGCCAGACAAGAAATAATGGATGGAAACTGAACAAGGAGAGATTCAACCTGGAAATAAGGAGGAATTTCCTGACAGACAGAACAATCAACCCAAGGAACAGAAGTTGCCCTCGGAAGTTGTGGGAGCTTCATCCCAAGAACCTTTCAAGAAGAGACTGGACTCTCATCTGTCAGAAATGGTGTAGGGTCTCCTGCTTGGGCAGGGGGTTGGACTAGATGACCTACAAGGTCCCTTGCAACTCTGATTATCTGTTATCTGATTTGCAGGTTCTCCGAACTGGGCATAACAACCGGTTGTGTAGAACCGATCCAAACCGGTAGAATCCCACCCCCTGTATCAATTAGTATTATTAGAGCTGTTAATTTATGTATATTGTTTGTATTATTCTTAGTAAATGGGACAATATTTTTATGGTATTAGCTATACTTTTTATTTTTTGTCCCACCTAGCCATTCCCACCGAACCGGTTGTAAAAAAAATTTGAATCCCACCCGTGTTTAACACGCACGCACACTCCCAGCCTGGGAAAGTTTTCTGCTAACAGCCGAGTACAACGTTGGGCTGAATTCCGGCTCTGTGGCGGATGGCCAGGAACGCCACCCGAGATGCGGAGAAAGCATTGTGGGACTTTAAATCAAGCTGCTACTCTACCCTAATCCTTGTCAAAAGGGTGACCGCATTCTTTTTATTTTTAAAATTCCCATGACGTCATTTCTGGAATCGAATCCGCTTTTGCCGAGGGGAGGACGGAGGGAGAGCCCCAAAAATTTAATTTTATTTCCGCGTGGGAACAAAACCCGGGATTTTCCCGTGCTTTTCTTCAAACCCCCCCCCAAAAAATTCCTCTTCCCCAAGGAAATTTGAAACAGGGTCGAAAAGCGGAGCGAGGAGCTTGTACTACAGGAGGTCGTCAGCTTACGGTGGTTCACTTAGTGACCGTTTGAAGTTACAATGACACTTTATTTTTTTTAAAAAAGGGACATGACCATTTTTCATCATTTTTCACCGTTACGCCTGATCCAAATTCAGAGGTTTGGCAGCTGGTTCGTATTTATGACGGTCCCTGATGGAGGGGGGGGGGTTGTCACGTGATGATCCCCTTTTTTGCGACCTTCTGACATGCAGAGACAACGGACGAGGAAGATTCACTTAACAACCGCGTGACAAAGTTAACTGTCTCGCTTAACAACGGTGGCAGAAAATGCCGCAAAACGGGGCAGGGGGGGAACTCACTGGATGACCATTTCACTTAGCAACATAAATTTGGGGCTCCGTTGTGGTTGTAAGATGAGGACCACCTGCAATTCAGAGCGGTCCTTGAGAATTCTGGGAATTGGAGTCCATGCGTCTTAAAAGTGACCACTGGTTTACGCCAAAAGCAGACTTGCACACTTGGACACCTGCTAGTTTCTGGTTTCTACGAGACACAACTTCTCCAGTAACATCCAGCCTTTCTACACACCCACCCAGAATTAAAGAGAGAGAAAAAATATCTTTCTTAAATTTATACACCGACCGTCTCGCCACTGGGAGAGATTCTGGATTTTTGGGAGAAGAGTCAGGGGTCCTGAAATAAGCTAAGAAGAAAATCCAGCCCCCTGGGGCAGACCAGGATACCCATTATCCAGTGTCCCCCTCTACCACTGCCAAGAACTGACCCCCAGCAGAGGGAGGGGCAAGGGAGCCAGGGTTAACACGTGCTTTAAGAGGGGTGGGCTTCCGCTCCCAGAATCCCCCAGCAAGCCTGCTTTAAGAGGGGAGGACTTCCACTTCCAGAATCCCCCAGCAAGCCTGCTTTAAGAGGGGTGGGCTTCCACTCCCAGAATCCCCCAGCCAGCCTGCTTTAAGAGGGGTGGGCTTCAACTCCCAGAATCCCCAGCCTGCAGGTTTTAAGAGAGGTGGGCTTCAACTCCCAGAATCCCCCAGCCAGGTTGCTTTAAGAGGGGTGGGCTTCCACTCCCAGAATCCCCCAGCAAGCCTGCTTTAACAGGGGTGGGCTTCCGCTCCCAGAATCCCTCAGTCTGCATGCTTTAAGAGAGGAGGACTTCCACTCCCATAATCCCCCAGCCAGCCTGCTTTAACAGGGGAGAACTTCCACTCCCAGAATCCCCCAGCCTGCATGTTTTAAGAGGGGAGGACTTCCACTCCCAGAATCCCCCAGCCAGGATGC